ACGTGGAGAGAATGGAGATCAAAAACCGAGAGTCCATCTACCTGCTCCTGCACATGGTAGGTGTGGCAGCGTGTAGAGAATCATTCATGCGCTTTGAACTTACAGAGAGGAATCTGCAAGTTTATCATCTGACTAAATGGAAAAGCCTGTGGCTGTTAATTAGCTGAGGATTTTTTTCTCTTTACAATGACTGGTCAGACCTGCAGCGTCTTCTTTAATGCCTCTCTTCTTCAAAGCATTTATAATTGAACAATTAACGACTCCTTTTAAACCTCACTCACTTAGATCGTGGAGGAGTCTCCGTTCTTGAGCCAAGACATGCTGGAGAGCTGCTTCCCGTACGTTCTCCTCCGAAATGCCTACAGGGAGGTGTACAAGTCCTTCATTGTGACTCTGGGCTGAAGATCTTGTTAAAAATACTTTTCTTTTAACATTTATGCAGATTAATTTAATATGTGCTGTACTTTTTGACAATGTCAGTGTTATAGCGCTCAGTTTACATAATAACCTTTTAAAAAATCATTTTGTAACATCCTCAGTATTACACTTTAGATACATCATGAGTACAATAATATATGTTTTTAAAATATAACCCCATCCAATCGTACATAAATCATTGAATACATAGATGCTGTATAACATTGTTTCTAACAACCTTTCCATGAATAAAGAGACAATAATACGCTTTTTGCCCTTTTTTCACGAGTATTCAACCTGAGTTCCTATTTCCAGTCTGTCCTCCATCCTCACTTGCCCTCATCCTCTCTCCCTGGATGATAGTCCTGTCCTCTCCATATTTCATGGACAGTTTAAATGATGCACTCCAGTTGTACGGAGCTGGAAGTGCTTGTTGCTAATTTTAGGTGGCCCTCACTGATTATATTTTTGCACTAACTATATTTGCCATGTCACGCCATTCTTCCATTTTGCCCTGTCTTCGGTCTCCTCCCTGTCTATTCGGCACATGCTGCCGTTGTGTCTCTTTGGTTACCACAGCGGAGACGTGTGTGCTTGTGTGCGGTGTTTATGTGTGCGTGCGCACACCGGGGACCGAGCCCTGTCACGGGAGCATGAGAGCTTAAGTCCCCACTATGAGGAACATTTATGGAGATGAATGTTCATGAATAAACTGTAAAATTATGAACAGAATTAATCTGTAAATGTGAAGGAATATTTTTCTGTGCATTAGACAGAAAAGCGGCCTTCCTTTCCTCCTTCCTTTCATATTTTCATCACTTTTGTCCACAGAATAGCTACATATCAGGTGGAAGATTTGCTCATTCTTATTTCATCATGCTTCCCATTAAGCACCTACCCGCCTTGTAAGCTTCCTTTTCTATTTTTTTATTCTTCCTTATACTCGTAAAGATTTAATGGAGATTTTTCTTTGCCTGTGTAGTAGAGTGGCTCCTCTCTCTTCACTCAGTTTTGAAATAGAAGGTTTACAACACACTATAATGCTGCTATAACGTGAGCTAGATGCTGTTTGAAATCACTGGTTTAGGATTTAGCTTGTTTTATGAAAAATTTGATCAAAAGAACTTTTAAAAAAATAATCCATAATTCATGGTAGCAGGCAAAGTGCAGGTTGAGCAAACCAGGAGCTAATTTGCTTTTATTTGTGTTCTGAAAGACTAATTAAATGTCTGCTAGTGATTCAAAATTCTATATTTGTGTTTACCAGTACAATGAAAATGTAATCACACATAAAAACATGCTCTAAGAATGAGTGCTAATACCGTCGTGTCTTTTCTGCATAAGGAAACCTTGCATGCATATGAACTCTTCCCTTGCACAGCCTATCCTGAGCCCCTGAGGACATGGTGGAAACTCTGGTCCTGATATGAACACTCTCTTGCTGATTGTATTGGTGACGCAAAGCCTCCCCAGCTGAGCACTGAACACTAGGGGATTACACCCACACCCACATACTGTGCACACTGCAAAATACTGCTTACATACACAGGAGACGTAACAAGGAGCAGCATAGGTAACATAAACTAGCCTTATGTGCACATAAGGCTGGTTTACATCATGACATAATTGCACATGCTGTATTTACTTACAGAGGTGTAAGCCATTTCGTATCTCTCTTAAACCAACAAACACACACATGCAGCTGGTCTTCTGCAGCGGTGCAATCCAGAGGTCATGACACCAACGTGTAAGATACGTGGAGCAGCTGATCGAAATCTCAGCCTTATGACATGGAGGATAACACAGGGATGGTAAGGCATTTATTTATGTTCTTACCCTATGATCATAATTTCTGTAGATTCTGTGATTCTGTGATTGTGGAGTACAACACTGTTGATATGATGTATTTTTTAAATTTTCATAGTCTATTAATTGACGTTAATTGTCCCAAATTGCCAACCCAAAAATGATTAATTTATTCTGTCAAGTGTATAATTCAGATAGAGTGGAAGCACAGGTTAGGGGAGTAAGGATGTCGTGCACTGTATTGATCACCTGATCATAAAAATGATTTGTCCCTGTGCCGTGTGGTCAGACATGTGTCTCTAGTTTCATTTGTCCACGTTGGGCTGATACGTCTGCCTTCACACCACTGCAGTGGGGGTAATATCTTTATTTATAGTGCTCGCTATATTTATGACATTTCTGGAAATCTTGCTAGGATTTATTCCATGATGGGTTTAAACTTCATGGGTGGATCAAAATTTTTATAATTCAATTATTATGAATTATAAAACTGTAGTGGTGCAGTGATTAGCACAAGCATCATTCTCGCCTCACAGCAAGGAGATCCTGGGTTGGAATCCATCAACCAGCTGGGGCCGTTCTGTGTGAAGCATGTTCTGTGTGGATTTCCCCGTCTTCCTCCCACAGTCCAAACACGTGGGCCATAGGTGTGAGTGTGACCTTGAAAGGTTGTCTATGTTAGCTCTGTGATAGACTGGCGCCCCGTGAAAGCTAGAATAAGCTCCTGCAAGGCTCAATTGGATCAGCAGAAGAAAATGGATGGATCTTGAATGCAATACAAATATGCAAAAAATATGTTTTCAAGATTTCCCTGATTGTGTGCACAAAAAAATTAAACTTAAGCTTTAAGTCTTGGGCTTTTAAGAAATAACATCACTGCTGAATCAAATGACTTGATGTCGAATCAAGACTGTAAAACCAAAAGTAATATGTATAAAACTAAAGATTATGAGGTATAATAAATAATAATAATAAAATGTTATTTTTGAGATAAAATATAATAATATTTAAATATATATTAGTGCAAAATGAACCAAAACTTTCTGCAGTGCCTATCACAACTGGAGGAAAGTGAAAAAATATAATAATTCTGTTGTTTGCTTGATTTTGCCCTTTAGTCTTACCCACATTGCCGACTAGGTTTCAGAACTGCATCAGAAACAAGTGAAGCTTGGCGCTAAACCAGATTTTGTGGGTTTGTGTATTCATTTATTCTTTAACATTCTGTTGTGAAAACAGACAAAAACACCCCTACGTGATCTCCTGCACGGTCTGTTTCTGCAACATTTAGTTCCTGTAAGAAACGCAATATTTATTCTCCCTCTGAAGCGCAGGAGTAAGTAGTCACTGGCTCAGGTCGGTCCACGGAGAGAGAGCAATCGGAAGGTGCGTGCTCGTCATCATCAGAGACAAACAGGAGTGATGAGAGATAAATGGAGGGGAAAAAACATTAAGGTAAAGCAAGAGGCTAGCAACCACACAAAGGAAAATTCTCTTTTCAAAGGGTTATACATAAGATTGACATCGGAAGAAATACTCCTCTGCAGCCTTTAATTTACATAGAACAGCACGAATATGAGCCTACTCTCTGGTATTTCCACAAGTTGATTCTTTAACAATCTGAAATTCGATGCTGTTTTCGATGAGGGAAAAAATAAATAAAAAACAAAAAAAGAAATACCCAAATGTGACACAGGAGATGGAGAATCATATGACATGATGTTACTTATCTTCATTTCTACAATATGCCATGTCATGTCAAAGAGCATGGGAGCATGAGAGTGAGTCTGACCCAGCAGCCAAAGCAGCACGGCCAAGGAGAGAGAAAAACCGGAGGCAGGGGTTTTCCCAAGCCGCGTTATTGCACAACTCTCACAATACTCTACTATAAATAAAGGCTGGTAATAGATTTTGGGCCTAGAACTGTAAAAGTGTTTAGAGATGCGCTTCGCTGTCTCCTCTGGTCTTTTGCTCTCTGCCCTTTTTAATGTCTCAAAAAACAGAGAATTCCCCTTTTAGTGCAGATACAACGCATTTAGCTGACAGTGGTGCACATTTTAGTAAATGTAAGTAAAGCGAAACCAAGAAATCTGTTGTTGAAATGAATTATTAGGATGATTTCACATGTTTTTGAAGCTTACATTTTGTGCAACAATTGCAAAAAAGTAATCAGTTTAAAGACATGGCACATTTTTGTGCATAGCTGCACCAATAACAGCAGTTAACCTACTGCGCTTTTGCGGACGGCTTTCAAGGACAAGTTTTGTTTATATGTTTTGGTTTGAGTGGCTCTGGTGGGCTTCACTGAAAGACTCTCTGTGCAGTTCTCTGATTTGCGGCCGGTGGAAAATTCTCATCTGGGATTTGAGTACACACTGCTTGAAAGCCTTGCAGTCAACACTTCATCAGCGAGTGAGGTCAACTCTCTCACACCTCACACAACGGGTGTACACATATACACAAACACTCATGGTCTGACAAAGACACTCACAGCGGCTCTCTCTCTCTCTCTCTCTCTCTCTCTCTCTCTCTCTCTCTCTCTC